TCTACGTGCTGTTATCGTACGAAACCTATCCAACTGCAGAGAGGTGTAAGAAGACAGGGTGATGTTATATCCCCGAAACTCTTCACCGCTGCGTTAGAAGACGTTTTCAAGCTACTGGACTGGAAAGGATGCGGTATTAACATCAATGGCGAGTACATCACTCACCTTCGATTTGCCGACGATATAGTCCTTATGGCAGAATCGCTGGAGGACCTTAGCACTATGCTCAATGACCTCAATGGTGTCTCCCAACGGATAGATCTTAAGATGAACATGGACAAAACAAAGATCATGTTTAATGTCCATGTCACACCTATGCCGGTAGTTTTTGGGAGCACTATGCTCGAAGTTGTTGACGAGTACGTTTACCTGGGACAAATAGTCCGACTAGGTAAGTCCAACTTCGACCGAGAGGTCAATCGACGGATTCAACTCGGCTGGGCAGCGTTCGGGAAATTACGACACATCTTCTCGTCAGGTATACCTCAAATCTTTTTTAAGAACTATATGCGAAAAGCTGTACTGTTATGCATATCTAGAGAGCCACAGCTATTAATAGACTTACCTAAAGTATGTTATACCCTCATTAACATCTTATGTGAAATAACAAAATGTTTACCAAAAAATATAATGATAACTTTAATAAAATACGCCTGCATTAATCTAATGTCATTCTGGCCTTGAACTTTGGTTTGGCGACAAGTTCTGTTACTGAAGTCTTTAAAGATACTGTTCCGGCTATAGCCCCTGCTCTGAAATCACTTATATTTTTTTCACCTTCACCCGATATACGTTTGAATCTACCTATTCCGTTAAAAAAAAACTATACTCAGGTACAAAGCATTATCGACTGTTTTGAGATCCAAATTGAAAAGCCCATTGATGCTGTTAAGTTATCAAATATTTGATATCAATAACACCCGATGGGCTGATCAATTTTATTTCTCCAGGTCATGGTGGCAGAGCATCAGATTCTTTGATTTTTGAAGATTGTGGTATTTTGCAAACTTTAGCCAAAGGAGCAGCAGTATTAGCCGGCAGAGGTTTTGAAAATATTGCACATTTGCTGCAGCAAAATGGTAATACTCCGATCAGACCTCCTAGCGTAAGCGCTCAATTTAATCCAACCAAAAACCAAGTTCTAGACACAAAAAAATGTAGCGTTACGAATTCATGTAGAAAGAGCTATCGGCAGACTCAGAGGTTTTGGATTTATGTTACCACATGCTTGTGTACATTTAAAGCAAGTTGATCTGCTTGATTCGGTTGTGATTTCTGCATGTAGAATAGTGAACCTTGAAATCACTCTATTTAATTTGGATTAACTAATAACTTATAGTTTTATGCAAAATACAACCGTTTTTATTTTACCGTATCCTCTGAGCTTGTTCTTACACTAACTGCGAAATAAACAAGCAACACTTAAGTAACTATGTAGTTTTCTTTTTATTTAGCCTCTTGAAATCTTGCTCCAAATAAGAATTTAAAGAATAGGTGTATCGGTGACTAATAAAAAACTAGATACACAATGCCATGCAAAAGTTCTCTAAAAAGTGTCACCAATTGTTTTAACGTGACTGTAGTTGAAATAAATATACATTAATATAAATTCAACCTTAAATGCATTGCCTATAGTTGTATTCACTAAGATACGTACAAAAAGCAATAAATTTTTATGGCCGAGGCTCGTTGGTTGTACAAGGAATGAGTGGAGTCAAACTGCCCAATATTTTTTGTTACTGTTATTTTAATTTAAAAATGTTATTAAACTTGTTTTAAAAAATTGGTGTTCGTAAAGCATATTCTATTCTATGGTGTATTCTATGTTATGGTTATAATTTATCTAAATGTAAATATGTTCTTGGATAGGACACCACATTCATTTAGTAATGAAAGTACTTGAAACAGTCATAATTATTTATTTATTCTTTATCTTGTGTCAAAATTTAAAAATATTTCTTGACAATCAACTTAAATTCAAATTCAATTGTTACTAAATATAAAAAGTATGTACAGAAAGTTATAAGTCCTAGTCACATATTCATCGCTTTCTAAAAAATGCTTGTCCATACAACGCTTCCTTGGGTCGGCTTGAAGAATTCTTCGGATCTTTTACGCGCGATGACTTATATCCATTCTCAACACATCGTCGCCTCAGTGCTTGTTTGGCCAACAGACCAATTTGGACGAAAATGACCTTTGAATGTAGTATGTTTAAGAATGAAATTCTACACAATCTAAATCAAGAATGACTCGTGTAACTATACCAATAAACGAGTAACAGACTATATTAAAAAACCAATATCCACAGTTACAATTTTAATTTTCGTGCATGTATGGCTTACCACCACAAATGAACCAACATTCATATAGCGGAATTCCCAGCGCGTGCTTGTTTGCCGTATATCCTCAAATTAACCAATCACAGGCCCGCTCGCTCATGACGTCACAACTCGCTGTTCCGCCATATTGTTTATTTACAATCTATCGCGACGCAAAACGGTGTTAGACTGCAAGATTTTTTTAAGTTTTTCGGTGAATTTACAAGTGAAACGAGGTGGAAAGTGTTTCCATAACTTTGAAAATTATGTCCTGGACCAGTTGTAATAAACGGTATAACCGCAGTACTGCATACTACGAAATGTAAGTTGATTTTAGTCATTGTAGTATTAGTTTAGGTCACGTTGTGTCTGCAATACAGGGTGGTTCAGAATCATACTCACAACACTGAAGAGTTTGTTTGTTTTTTCAAACGGTCGAATCTCTGGGTCGGCTGGACCAATTTAGACGGGATTTTCACTTAAAGATAGTTAATTTGATACTAAATAATTTGGGATATCCTTTCTCAGTGGGAATACTTTTTCTTATGGGAACGGGCACTACGCGTTTGTTTGTTTGTTCTGTTTGTTTGTTCAGTTTATTTATTTGGTGTGTATGCGTTTGAAGGCGTTATTAAGTGATTCAAGGTTGGAGGGGGTTTCAGGAAATTTTTAAAGGGCTTTTAATATGTTGAACTGAGCATATAAATGTACTTACTAATATTAGGTATAAATGCGAAAGTGATTTTGTTTGAACGTTTGTTAAGCTTTCACGCCTAAATCGCTGAACAAATTTTGAGGAAATTTTGTACATAGATAGATGAAACTCTAAAGAAGAACATAGGCTAATTTTTTTTCCAGTAATCTAGGAACGGGCCTTACTCGGGTGAAACCGTGGGGCAAAACTGGTAACACAAAAAATACAAACACAAAATAACTTATTTGACAAAGAAATCACAATAACAAGATAGAATTACTTATGGCCCCCACACTAGGAAACCAAAATACCTGAAGATCACTTGTAAACGAAAAATATGCATCGAATACATAGCCTCCTCCTTTTTGAAAGTCGGTTAAAAATAAAAAGAACCGTAGGTTGATAATCGAAAAAGTATACGTAGATAAAATATAAAGTACTAGTGTCACCCTGCTGTTTCATGAGAAAAAAGTAGCCTGTGTTATCCAGGATATAAGTAATGCGGGTGCAAAGTTACATCAAAATCCGTTCAGTAGTTTTTGCGTGAAAAAGTAACAAACATCCATCTATCTATCCCCACAAACTTTCACAAAACATTTAAAAATAACTATTTGAAGAATTAGTATATAGTACTTCTTTTCGAAAAACGAGCAAAAAAGTGAAAGTGTGTCAGAAGTTTTTTTGTGGTACTTTGCATATATCGGCTAAAAGAATTTGTTATTTCTACAAAAAACTTTACAACAACAAATTGAAATTGATTCCTACACCCTCTAAAGGAAAACACTTAAAAAACAGACCGCCGAAAGCAAAATAGAAGAAGTAATTCAGCACATAAATTCCTTTCCCACACAAAAATCACATTTTTGTCAAGCTAACTCAAAACGACATTACCTTTCGTTAAAATTATACGCGAGTGACACCGCAGGGCACCGGTAGTATATATCTATAAATTCAACATTTAATTTCAATGCAGGCATGTTAGATAAGATCATAGTCTGTTAAATAACAATTTATAATTTATTTATTACTTTTATTATAACATACAATAATGATGCGCAGTGGATTTGTTTAATTTCACACCCTTTATTGTGAAGTAAGGCTATAGGGCAAACAAGCACAGAATACTTTTGGTTGCTTTTTGGCTAACATCCCAAGGAATGTAGTGTATATCCATTAACGTAATTATAGTTTCGTTTTTTTGTCCAATATCCATTTTTAAACCGGTTTTACACAATGTTAAAGTCAGAAGTTTTTATTTTTTACAGATTATTAGAAGTACAGATGTGCCACAGTTTTGGAAACTACCGAACATTACGGCTTTATTTGAGGCATAGCATAGAAAACCAAAAAAAAAAACATTGCTCCTGTAAAATTACTCAAATGGTCTATTGGCCTAACAAGCACTGAGGCGACGACATAACTGGATCTGGAGGAAAGCAAAAAAATAAAAATAGAATCTCACATGTTTAATTTTATTACATACACATATTCAAAATTAAATATATGAAATGTTACTATAATAGTTATAGAAAAAATAAAGAAGTACATTAAAAAAAACAATCATACTTTAATAAATAAAGGTTTGAAGTGGATTTTGATTCGTAAAAGTGATGCGATTTTGTGAATTAAGTGCCTGCGCGTGTGAACTATTAGAGAAAACGACGAAACCAGTGCTTTGATGTTGATATAAACCTCAAGTTAATTTGATGGCTTGGGCGCCTTATAAGCTTGAGTGGCTGTCGTCATCAACTGTCCGCTGGGTTGAGCTGTCGTCAAAATCTTCCAAAACTTCACAATGTGACGCATCAGCATATTGTGAAGAAAAAATATATAAAAATGAAGATTCCGAAAGAATTGCTAGGCTCACAAGGGCTAGAACCCAGACCCGTAAAGTCAGTTAATAAAAAAATTATTATAAAAATGTCAAGTTGTGCAACTCTAAAAAATATTCTGAAATTTTAATTAACTGTTTTCTTAATAAAATTATGGCTAGCATAGAATTAGATATATGGCGGGGTGAGTGGGGACTTGCATCTATAGATTTAGAGTGTCTTAAAGTGTTGGTAAGAAGATTTGATAATTTACGATAACCTTTATTCGAAGATGTATTGTGAACCGGCAAACATTTTTTACTGTATTATAAATAATTACAGACTTATATGAAATTCATTGGAGTTCCTGTAAAAGTTCATGAAGCAAACAATCCGTATTTTGCACCAAAAGGTCAGTTACCTGTCATGAGAGATGGCCGTAAAGTACTCACAAGCTTTGAGGAGGTTGTGGACCATTTGAAATCATTAGTAAGTTAAAATATCGTTTGGATAAAACTTTTTAAACAAGTAATAAATAAGGCACGTGTGTATGTATTAAATATTTTTGTCCTAAAAGTAATGATCTTTTACACCCAGCATTACAGCACAGATGTTCACCTAAACACACAACAAGCAGCGGAAGCTAGTGCTTTTACGCAGTATCTAAGAGAAAAGCTATACCCAGCATATCAGTATGCATGGTGGGTTGATGAAAAAAATTATACTGAAATTACAAGGCCAGCATATGCCAAAGCTTTACGAATACCGTTTAACTTCTACTACCCAGGAAGGTATCAGAACTCTGCTAAGGAGATGGTTGATGCATTATATGGAGAACACACTGACTTAAGGGAAATTGAAAAAACAGTAAGTATGTCATCCTGCTATTAGGGTTTAACATGCAATAGATCTAGATAGGCCAGATTTTTTCATCTCTGTGGATCTGTAGAATGAATACCATCCAGCAATAAGCAATAAATATTGTTTACAGATAAGTTATGAAAATGGTAAGGCCCAATATGAAATCTGGCTAGCTATTATTAAAATATTATGTAGCCGTAGTACATAACATTATAAACTAACACAACTAGATTTGTTACCCAGAGGGTTAATTAGTGACTACGGGCTACATTTGGCACAATCCTGACACACCTTCACGGCCTTTACTTTAATATACCTATGCATTTATGCTTGATTTAAATATTTAAAAACAAGATTACATAAATTGTTTTTCAAAATTGTTTAACCTTGAATATAAATCAAATCATGTATCTATTACAGACCATAAAAGCACTGCTCGTAGATTGCCTCATAAGGAGATTTTGGCATAGTTGTCATGCTTAGCACGTGGGTTGGCAGTTGCCAACAAAAAAACATAAAAAAAACGAAAAAAAAAACATAAAAAGATGCAGTTGCATCTTTTTATCAGTTTCAGTTTCCCTCGAACTTCTCTTATTCGCTTACTACACACAACTGGGCGACTACTAGTACAAAGAATTATTTTGTCATCAGCATTATTACAGCCCATCACAGGTACACTGCTAAATATTAGCCTCCCCTGAGGGACGTCACACAAAGCATGGGTTTGAGAAATCTACATCCGTTGACTTTTTGCATCTCTTACCAGGTCATCATTTCATCTAGTTTAGGGCTACCCTACACTTCACTTACCGGTTCAAAGTTGCCATTTGAGAACCTTTCTTCCTCTTTGATTGTCTATACCACAAGCTAAAGCCAGTCGTATTGTCACTTTAGCTTACTAATCCATTGGGTTACATCGGTTACTCTGGTAATACTGTATTTAATTGTACAAAGTTATCATACAGAAAAAGTCCAAGCCTAGCCCGCTCTATAGCATGCTGAGTGTCTTTGAACATCCCCTTGTTACTGGCATCGTGCGTTGTTCATATACTCTTGTTTTAAAGTTTTGAGGTATATCTGATGAGAAGATGTATCATGATCTTTTGAACATCCAGCCTAGTTGGACCTGTCAATTGACCATTAAATTGAAGTTGAACTTACCTAGTTAAATTATTGCCCAAATACTCAAACTCTATTCAATTTCAAGATGCCACTAAATCTCTGTATCTATCACTAAGTCAAAGTGACTATATATGTCTATGGGCCACAGCATCCTGTTACCATCAGGTGGACTGTCTGCTTGTTTGCCACCCTTATTGTAAAAAAAAGATTAGTTTAGAGAATAGGAGGCCCTTTTTACTGGAAAAAATGCATTCTATGTATGTATTACATACTGATATACAAAATAAACTAGGATGAGTGCACCAGTAACAATCATAGTTACAATTATAGCTGTCTATCGTCCTATATCTCTATATCTATCTATAATCATGTGGCTATATAAATCCATAAACCCTGATCTATTAAATTTTTAACAGAATTAGTTGTGCAAATAATCAAGTGCAGACTTGCTATTTCAGATATACCAAGAAGCAGAAAAATGTCTTAAAACTCTGTCGGATCGATTGGGAGAAAGTGAGTACTTCTTCGGCAATAGACCATCATCGTTTGATGCAATAGTGTTTGCTTATTTGGCCCCTTTGGTGAAGGCCCCATTTCCTAACGCAACACTTTCAAACCATGTTAAGGGTATTGCAAATCTAAGCAGATTTGTAGCAAGGATTAATCAGAAGAACTTTAGACATGTCACTGATGGTAAATCTGTTGTTTATTACTTACATACATTACTGTATTCTTTTTAAATTAGGGTAATTCAGTAGAAAGGCATTTCTTCCGCCTCAAAGCCTGTCTGGGTAACTGCTATGGGCCACTGGTGCCATAAATAATCTACTTCATATTCTTACCTTTGCATCACTCAAAGATTGAGCGGTAGAGAATGTTTCGGGCAATAAGTCCGCCTATACATAATATATTATGTTGTATAAAGTTAAATAAATAAATAACTAGGTAAAAGTATTATGACAGCAACTTGCACACTGAAGTATGACGAAGATTTCTGCCTGGAAGATAGATAGGTGAATCTACTCAAATTCATACTAAGTTTGAATTTGGGGCATTCCCCATAAATTCCAAAGTCTACATCGAGACCCATTTTTGACCCATTGGTATAAAGCTATCGACCTCAGAGATAACCTGGCCATTCAGCCAGTTTTCTCTGGGAGGATAGTTCCACTGTATACTTTTTATTAAAATTGTATAGTGGACTCACAATATCTCATGCATAAGACCGGTGTTTCCTTAATTGAGTTGAGCATGGATCTCAATCTATAGGAAAACAAGCTCAAACCGCCCTAGGTGTTAATCCTATATAAACTAGCCCTCGCCTCCTTGTCTAGATAAAGATCAAGGAGCATTAGGCATAGAAATGCATTAAGAGCCGCTCCGTTGCCATTAAGTAGACAGTCCTTTGTAGACTATTTAGTCTGTCCACAGTCGTCTTTTGGTTGACCTTATTACACCAGACTGTGGAGGCGTAGGTAAGAATCATTCTCACTGCTGCTGTACAGCCATAGGATCATACTGGGATGCAAGCCCCAGTTGTTCCCGGTCAAATGACTGCATTTTTTTTTTTTTTTTATAGAAGAAGGGGCAAACGAGCATGCGGCTCACCTAATGTTAAGTGACTACCGCCGCCCATGATCAACCGCAACACCAGGAGAATTGCGGGTGCGTTGCCGGCCCTTTAGAAAGGAGTAAGCTCTTTTCTTGAAGGTCCCCAGGTCGTATCGGTCCGGAAAAATCGCCGGTGGTAAACTATTCCACAGAGAGGTTGTACGTGGAAGAAAACTCCTTGTGAAACGTACAGTGGTGGACCGCCAAGCATCCAGATGGTGTGGATGGTATCGGGACGTTTGACGTGTAGTGCGTTCACAAAATTTGGCGGCTGGGATTAATCCGAACAATTCCTCAGAGCACTCCCCGTGATAGATGCGATAAAATACGCAAAGAGATGCAACATCTCTTCGCAGCGCCAGTGAATCGAGCCGATCGGAAAGCACTCGGTCGTCGACGATTCGAGCCGCTCTGCGCTGGATGCGGTCAAGTGGAAGAAGCTGGTACTGGGGAGCCCCAGCCCAGAGATGGGAACAGTATTCCATGTGCGGCCGAACCTGCGCCTTGTAAAGTTGCAGGCAGTGTGCCGGCATGAAATTCTGTCCCGCTCTGCTGAGCACGCCAAGCTTTTTAGAGGCCAATTTGGCCTTCCCTTCCAAGTGACCACGAAACTGCACGTCACTCGATATGTCGACGCCGAGGATTCCGATACTGGCTGAGGCAACAAGGGGAGTGCCTTGAAACTGAGGGGATACGACAAAGGGGTTCTTTTTAGCGGTTAACGCGCAAACTTGTGTCTTCTGGGGGTTAAACTGGACTAGATTTAGTCGCCCCCAATCCGAGACTCTGTCCAGCAGAGACTCGACTTCAGACACAAGTTTGTCCCGGCACTCGGAGACGTTTTCCCGAGAAATATTGGCTCGGCCGGTGTAAAGAGCATCACCAGTGCTGTCATCTGCATAGCAATGAATGTTACGGGTATGCAACATGTCATTGATATGCAGAAGAAACAGCGTTGGCGATAGCACGCAGCCCTGTGGAACACCAGCATTAATAGCCTTGATGCTCCGATCTGCAAGAAAGCTGGTGATCCAATCGCACAATTTCTCGGGAAGCCCATAGGAAGGGAGCTTCGAAAGAAGCGTTTTGTGCCAAACCCGATCGAAGGCCTTCGCAATGTCCAAACTAACGGCCAATGCCTCCCCCTTGAACTCTACTGCCTCCGCCCATCTGTGAGTTAGGTAGACCAGAAGATCACCAGCTGACCGACCACGACGAAAACCGTATTGGCGGTCACTAATCAGCTGGTGATCTTCAAGGTACCTCATGAGCTGGCAGTTTACAATGGACTCCATTGTTTTGGAGAACAAGGAGGTGATGGCGATTGGCCGGTAGTTGGACGGGTCAGAGCGGTCGCCTTTTTTTAGGGATCGGGTGGACGTAAGCCGTCTTCCATGATTTTGGGACTACGCCTAGGGAGTAGGAGTACCGGAAAAGACGCGTTAAAACCGGTGCCAACTCTGGAGCACACGTCCTCAGCACAATTGGGGGGATTCCGTCAGGCCTACTCGACTTGTGGATGTCCAGGGAGAGGAGTGCTTTGCGAACCGAGCGCTGTGTGAAGTGCACTTCCGGCATGGAGCACTCACACCGCGGGATGGTCCGCGGAGTACTCCCCCCGTCATCGAGAGTCGAGTTAGACGCAAAGAAAGAGCCTAGAAGATCGGCTTTCTCCTTTGCGGTATGGGCCAGTGAGTCGTCCTCCCTGTGCAGAGATGGAAGAGATGGCTGAGAGAAATTCCCCTGGACAGCCTTGGCGAGAGACCAGAATGCACGGGTTCCAGAAGGAAGGCGAACTAGTTTCTCGCCAATTCTGCCTATGTGCTCTGACTTTGCCTTGGCAATGACTCTTTTGAAGGACCTAGAGGCGGAATTATACTTCTTTTTTAGAGCGCTGGTGTTTACATCCCGGGACGCTGATGCATCAGCCCAGGCTTGGTAGCACTCCTGCTTATAGCATGATGCTATTTTACAGGAGCGACCAAACCATGGCTGAGACTTGCCTCCAATGGGCACCACAGAGGAAGGAATAAAAAGTTCCATACCCTGAAGTACCACATCAGCAACAGAATCCGCAACAACGTTGGGATCATCCGGCGAGAAGCAAACCCGCCCCCAAGGGTAGGATGCAAAGAAAGACCGCATCCCATCCCAATCGGCTGACCTATAGTGCCAAACACGGCGGCAGCCTGCAGAATGCAACCGCGATTTCAGCGTGAGTGGCACCACACTCCGGACCAATGGTCCGAGGAGCCTAAAGGGCGTCGACGGAAATCTGATATCCGTCCGGGTGAGAGGTCAGCAGAAGGTCCAACAGGGAAGGTGCATGATCCTCCACATCTGGAATCCGCGTAGGCGAAGTAACCAGTTGTGTCAGACCATATGCCAAGGCAAAATCATGAACAGATCTCCCCGCATGATCGGTTAAACGTGAACCAAGCCATTCGGCGTGATGGGCGTTAAAGTCGCCGAGGATCAAGATCTCTGCGGAGGGGATCTGCTGTAGCAACGAATCTGCAGCCATTTGGACGTGGTCGAATAGTCGGTCTGTTTCGGCATTACCGCTATGGGACCTATAGAGGCACCCGTAGACGCGCGGATGGTCGTCGCTGTCTACGCGTAGCCAAAGGATGGACAGGTCCGAACCTTCAAGTCTGCCGAGGCGTCGAGAGCAGATGTCCTCTCTGACGTAAACGCAAACTCCAGCCCGAGGCACAAAGGAGTGTTCCAGTTTGTACCCCGGGTAGGAGAGATAAGAGACATCAGCCGGAGAGGACACCTGCGTCTCGGTCAGAAAGAGCAGAGCCGGCCTCGCCGTCTCGAGATGGTAGTGGACGGCGTTTAGGTTAGAGTGAAGTCCCCTGATATTGCAGAAATTCACGGACAGCGTGGCAGGGGTCGCCTTGGTCTTGTTGCTCCGTTTGCCCCGAGCAGTTGTAGTCTTGAGCGGAATTTTGCCCCCCCCCCCCCCAAAATACGCGGGGCAGCCTGAGCACTCACGCTCTGAAGGGGAGAAACATGGTCGTGGATGCTCAGCGAGGGATTCTCCAGGGGTGCTGGTACCCTCCTGGGGTAGTCGATCATTATTTAATTCCGCTACCATGTTGATGGGGGGGGGGGGATTTGGGCCTCCGGCCACCTGCACTCACCAGACGAAACGCGGAAGCAGAGCTTCCACTTCACGCCGGTATTCTGTGAGGTCGTGGTACCACCCCGGTTTGAGCCGGCCCAAAAAGGCTGCATTTATCTAAAGCAATTTTAGCCTTATGACATATGTTGCTAAGATAAGAGTTCCACATTAGTTTTTGGTCGATTGTTACGCCCAAGTGATTGACTTCAGTGGAGAATGATACTCTTCTTTACTGTTGTTTTGGTGGGACTAATTTGTCCAAATGTCTCTTTTTAGTAGTAAGGGGTATTATAGCAGTTTTATCAGCATTAACTGATTAACTATTATCCCTACAACAATTAATTATGGTGTTTAGGGCTCTTTGTATGATTAATGATAAAGTACTTTGGCAAAATCCTCTCGCCATGATCACAAGGTCATCAACATAACCTAGTGTGTCAAAGGAGAAAACGCGTCCTTATGGATAGCCTCTTGTAGTCGCAACCTCATTCGAAGTTTGAAATAGCGCTATTTTGCCGTTTTGTTTGAGAACATCGACTTCACTCACCTGATGGTTGTGGGGTCAACATTTTTAGATGTCAGGCCCCTAATCAGCAGTGATGTGGGGCTACTGTCGAATGTGCTTTCAATATCTAGAAAGGCACAAAAATATTTATTTATCCTCCAGCGCTTTTTCAACCCTAGCAATAACACTGATCAGGGCTGTTTCCGTAGAATTGCCTCTGCGGTAAGTATGCTGGTTGTAATGTATGGGCCTCACAGCTAGAGCTACATCCCTAATCCATTGTTTTTCTCAAAATTTCGATCTTCATCCATTTTGGTCCCACGACCATTCTCCACTGAAGTCAAGTACTTGGGCGTAAAAATCGACCAAAAAGTAACATGGACCTCTTACCTTAGCAACGTATGTGTCAAGGCTAAAATTGCTTTAGGTACATGAAGTCATTTGGTCGGGAACAACTGGGGCTTGCATCCCAGTATGATCCTATGGCTGTACAGCAGCAGTGAGGCCGTTTTTACCTATGTTTTTACTACGCCACCTATTTATCTTCGTCATACTTTAGTATGCAGAAATCAATCTGCAAAAACAATATGTCAATCATATAATCTACATAAACTATGTAACCACGATTTATGGCCATAATTTTACAATGCCCATCAATATGGCAAATAGCGGTAGACAATAGCTCCGGCGGCGCTTTTTTTTCGCATATCAAAGAAGATTACCGCAGTAATAAATGCGTTTGTGGCCACACTACCGTTTGTCCAGTATGCAACATGAGCTCAACGACGACGCACGTATCGACCGACATGGAGTGGTCAAATGAAAAAGCGCTTGAATTTTTGGAATTATTCCAATCCTAACCGTCTCTTTGGGATACCCCGACAGAATGCCCATAAAAATTTATAAGATTCATGTATAAATAATTGGCACTCATAAAACACAACACAGCTGCAGCTTCAATCACCATATTGAAAAATGATATTTACCTCCTAATTTATTGAGATATCTAGGTAAACTCTAATGTGACCACACCACTTAACGCAGTAATTTAAACGGTAATTTAATACCATAATTATTGCAGTAAACGGGTGGTAGACGGTATGGTAGTGTGACCGTAGCATTAGGGACCGGAGAGAAAAAGACCTAGTGTTAAAAGTGTTCGGCGTCAGCAGTTGTCATTTACCATCAAGTGAGCCGCATGCTTGCTTATCCTTTTTCAAAAATAAAGATATGGACAACTGTCAAAGCAATCTTCCAAGCAAAAAGCCTTTATGAAGAATTTTTATTTCAAGCATGTAAAATTCACCGAATATTAAAATAATTTCAGAATACAATCGACAAAATTCAAAGAAACATTCAACTGGAACACAGTCTGATAGGGAAGCCGCTAACTTTCCAAACCAAACACGTAATAAAATATTGGCAGCGTTGTTTGCTGCCATCGCCATGACTGGTTACGCAATGGCTAATGGAATGTTCCAAGTAAGTAATAAAACTTGTTTATATCCTTACTTAGTTAGATATAATATTATAAATGCATAAGTGTGTTTGTTCGTCCTTCCTTACGCAAAAATGGAACAAAGGACATTATTTTTGCATGAAGATAGTTTGTGGACCGTGAAAGACCATGGGCTACCTTAAATCCCAAAGATACGCATGATTCCTGTAGGATATCTATTTAACATTTAATATAATTCTACAAGTATAAAGTTCTTCAGTAAGAGGATCTAGAATTCTCGTCACTATAATATGGTTTTTTACGTGGTAGAGCCATGCTGCAGTTATATTAGTAGTATAGTTGTAGCACGAATGGGTTGGCTCAACCGGGGAGGGACCACGCTCTCACAGAATACCAGCGTCAAATAGTAGCTTAATGCTGCTGTGTTTCGTATGGTGAGTGTAGAGAACCGGAGGCCCTTTTTACTGGAAATGAGGCATTTCACCTAAGTCCTCATGGGTGACAACGCATCTGCATTTTGATTCGTAATCGAGGATAGATGGAGATGTCTATGGGCCACAGCAACCACTTACCATCAGGTGGACTGTGTGCTCGTTTGTCACCCTATCCTATAAAAAAAAATATGGTCGTTTATGGTGGCTATACTGCGTACGAATAAAGATGATTTTTTGTTGAATCTTTGTAAAGTGGAAACAAATCCTTAACAAGTATCCGTTACTGTCAATTAGTGCCCGAACGGAATCGTTAGCTTCGGCTACGGTCGAAGTTTCGGCCGTGAGTAGGTTTCTAGCAAGCACCGAAATTGAACGAACTGTAACGAATGAGCGAAAGCGAGATGGATGTGGTGACGCAATTTTTATCACCTTAAGATCGAATTTTAGATATTATTAAAATTGCCTTTTTATATTATTATACAGTCAATAAACTTTCAATTTAAAAGTTTCGCAAAGAGCAAAGACATTTTTAATATGTTGCCATATTGCAGTGGATTGGGTGGCAGTATATTAGGCCGGTATCCCGGTATAATTTCCGAGTTTAAACTTTTAACTTCACATTGTCAAAATTAGTGTAAATAATATGGCCTGGTCTATAGATTTTGAGATTGTAGATATTTAGTTTAAACTGGAGATTGTTTCCGAATATTAATTTTGTGTAGTTTTTTTATTTCTAGTCCAGTATGTCGGTATGTATGTATTATTACTTCGTCCTTGCAACTTTGTCGAACGCTGTTAAGTACCACGAACTTAGAAAACCGTTTGAAATCAATATTTATTTTTAAATTTATATATTTCCTCCGCTTTAAGACGCGATTTGCAATTGCTGTTGAGAATATTCCGCTTTCACTACCTTGAACTATAATTTAATTATTGTATTGTATGTTTAATTGCATATAAAATTTTGCTAATTTTTTTTTGTTTTAATTGATTGCAAGAATATATGACACTGACATGTTCTAGTGGATTATCCATTTGAGCATGTCAGTGTGGGGGATGTATTGAAGTCAAATATGAGGTTTTTGTGAAATCATGAGTTGCTTTTTAGTTTTAATTTATTGCACATGTTATTACAGTACGTTTGTACTGAGAAACATCAACCACGTAATGTTTTGAAACAAATCGCATAAAATAAATCACACAACATGTTTTCTGATGGTGGTGTTCACAATCACAAAAACTGTGTAAAATTTTCAACAGATATTCAAACTTATCATTCAACATGACAATATTTCCTACAAATTTGTTTTCAAACATTTTGTTTCTGTTGTTATAAAGATATAATATAGTTAAAATATGTAATCCTATACCTTTAAACGAGCGATTCTTGTATATATATATATATATATCTCTCTGAAACGGCTCCAAAGATTTTCATAAAATTTTGTGTACAGGGAGTTTCGGGGGCAATAAATCGATCTAGCTAGGATTTATTTTTAGGAAATGTCTTTTTGTCCGTGTTTTTAGGCAATGAAAAACTGGTACAATATCGTTAGAATAAGAAGGTGAATTTTGACAGTTTATTAATGATTACAAATAGTTTAATTGGTATATAGGGCGGTTACAAAATCGTAATACCATGGTTCGAGCCCAGGCCGACCGACCGACTTTTTTTAATTTTTTTTTTCAAGTTCCTTTCTTTTTTGAGAAAATCTATTTTTTCGAGCCCTTTTTTAGTATTTTTTAAAAACACGAAAATTTAAATTAAACTAATTGCACTCATGATTTTTTATTCAAATAAATAAATAAATAACCAGTTCAGTTTTTTCTATTATGTCGCTAAGATCAAAAAATATTATTTGTATTTCATCAGTATGTAATTTGTATCTAAATATAATTTCCAAAACACACGAATAAAAAAAAACCGAGCGAAAAATACCGAGCAAAGCTCGGTCAACCGGGTACTGTACAATAAACTCTCAAACATATTTCACTACAACATGTTTTTACAAACGCTTTTTGATACATTGACAGAAAACAGTGTTTAAAACATGTTTTTTTTTTGTGAAAATCGCGTCGTTGCAAACTCACGGATAGAATCATCAATGACTCATCAAAATAACCAATCATCAAGCGCATCATAGCTATAGGTTTTCTCATAATATCTTCTGTTCAGGACTTGAAAGATTTCGAACATTCTCGAGATTACAACGAGTTGTTTGACAATGAGGAAGATGACAACTGAGCCATAAACACGGAGAGTGGATAAATAGACACTTCAACTTTTGAATTGTAACTGTGACTTTTTAGTGGTATCAAGAAAGAATTCAGTTAAAAAGTTAAAGTTTTGTGGATGTGTGATAATTATATGGTGGAAACAGCATTTTTATTTTTTCTTGGCATTTAAAGAACTGACGAAAATCAACAAATGCCTAATTGTTTATACATTATGTAACATTTGAGCAGAGCAATTAACGATTACAACAATAATAGTACCTAGGATTAGTAGTGCCGTTACAAAAAAAAGGCATAGTAACCTAATGTCGTTACCAAAAATATTTTTTTATTTATGCAGTTTCCTACACTCAGTTTATATATTTAAATATTAGGGAAAACATTAGCACCAACTTCACGGAAATCGCTGGAGCTAACGGCAAAACCTTCATAGACAACAACATAGATAAGCTATTATTATCAATGATGGTTAACACAGACTACAATATTCACAAGTACGTAGACAAGTTGCGCAATAGTGCAGCTTTAATAGTTGTGATGTAAGGTCCTTGGCGAATCAGCTACAGATGATATTTATTTTATATTAGGCATGCATGTACTCCAATCAATATTGTACTGTAAAAATGCTATTAAGAGGATATATGAGCTGCTTGGGTCCATGCAAACATATTCCTCTGTTTTCTTCCTGAATAGTGACAGGGTAAATATTTTTGTTATATAATTGATTGATTGTTTTTTTTATTAATCAATTGTTTTCAAAATTAATTAAATTGGCCTGTTATAACGCCGTTATAAGACAACCAATATACAAATTTAGCTAACATAAAATATTAAAGAAATATGTACAGGTACAATCCCAGCTACAATCCTTACATTGATCTTAAAAAAATTAACGTCTGTTCAATTTTAAGGCCGGCTACATACATACGAAATTGCGTTTCGAGATACTGTTTTTTTTAAACGGAACGAACGGATCGGCCACACACATACGGAATCCCGTTTTGTCCGCAAAATTTCGAACGTAAAAATATCGTAGGTGTTACGGGTCATTGATTTTATATGGACTTGCCGCGTTCGGGATCCCGAATCGGAATTCCGAAACGGAATGTCGAAACGGAATTCCGTATGTATGTGACCGGCCTTAACGAGGAAACAGGAATACGAGATGATAATTTCGTTAATTTCTCATAGGTATAATTATACCTAACGAATTATTCCGAGCTGCAGTTGTCTAGCTCAGTCATTCGGCCACAGCGAAACAGTCAAGTGTTTAAAACCTATTCTTCAAATTACTTGCAGCCCAGATAGCCTCTTAAAGAATCATTGTTTTACCTACTTGTTTTTGTTTTCTATGATTTTTATTTCAATATTTAAACCATTTTACTTGTTTAATTTTAAAGTTAACATGTATTTGTTAACCATAAATTTGTTTATATTAAAAAAGTCAATTACTAAAAAAACAATGTTTTACAGTGGTTAAAATATTTAGGTTATAAATCATATAAAGATGACTGAGTTTTAATTATAATATGTCATCAGTAATGTGCATTTATTTATGATATTGATTTTAATTTAGTCGCGTAAAAACAGCTCAAAAATTCCTAAATTACAGACATTTCAGCTTTAAGTCAGAAAAACTTTGGAATTTTAGTCTGAGTGGTGTAGCTTTGGCTGATTTAGAATATAGCGCTTTTAGTTGTAAAAATAAAAAGTGGTTTGTTTTAACTTGGTGAGGACTGAATAAAGGTGTTTTATTTGTTGAAACTGTTTTTATTTTATTTACTTATTTAGTTATGTTAAATTGCATGAATTTTAGCAAGAATCCACACGGCGCGTTGCGTCGTCGCAATGCATTTATTTTGACGCATTGCCGGCCACACTGGCGCGGCGTTATCGCAAGTAATCCATATCAATTTCTTTAATAGTATTCATTTTACTCTGCAAATTAAACTCAAAGAAAAAACGGGATTAGCTTGTGTACTATCAACGCACAAACAACTGCGCGCTGCCGCTCTGGCATCGCATACAGTAACCCCTACCCCTTCGTCTCGGGGGCTTTCAGTAGTGTGCGCGTTGTGTCAACGCAGCACACCGTGTCTACACTATGGTTATTAGTGTGTAAAACGACGCAGTGACAGCGCTACGTAAACGCAACGCGCTGCGTGGTCTTAACCTTAATTGTGTTGTCGCCGTGCAGTGGCGATGTATGAGAATCTTCTACCCAAATATCATCCCGTGAGTGTCGTACGAGGTGACAAGAGGGAAATTAAAAAGACAGCAATAACAAAAACTGCGGTTGCCAAATGCTTGCCAAGCATAGCGTCTATGAATAGAATAGAATATTTTTTTATTCAATATGGACTACATGGGAAGAACCAGCAAGAAACCCAGCGAGACTTAAAAAACTTTTTAGAATGTCGACGGTCACAAAATATTTACAAAATTTATTTTAGAAACAGCTTGGTAGCGATCACCTAAATCCCAGGGGTTATTATCAACCATGTATTAATTTATATTATAATAACCCTTTCTATACAGTTTTAAAATATTTATACTTGGTAATAGAGAGATCTTGTATATTTTATCTGTATACTCTTTTGTATCTCCCCTACGAGGCAATCTATGAGGGAGGCATGTGTTCAGCAGTGGAATTGTGATAATCTGAAATGTATGGAATGGATGAATGTAAGAACAAAGAATAATTTTACTATATTTACCGTGTAGTGGGCGGTGTAAGAATACCCACTACCCCATATCGTCCCAAGGTTGTTGTAGAGGTTACTGAGGGCAGGATGAGAGCAGCGTATTCCTTTTTTTTATAAAATGAAGGCGACGAACGAGCACACAGTTCGCCTGATGGTAAGTGGATGCTGTGGCCCATAGACATCTACAAAATGCAGTTGCGTTGTCATCTGTGAGTACTAAAATGGAATACCTCGTTTTCAGTAAAAAATGGTCTCCAGATCTCTACACTCACCATACGAAACACAGCAGTATTAAGGTGTTAATTAGGTACAACCAAAAAATAAAAAACCGGTTGCCAAACCGCCTTCCCAGTGTGGCAAGTACTGCAACTATCTCCTTAGGCAGCCTATGGGGGAGGCCTATGTTCAGCAGTGGACTTTGATAGGCTCTGACGGTTCCATAAGATAATTTTATTAAAAGATTTTTTTATATAATAAGGGTGACAAACTAGCACAGTCCACCTGATGATAACTGGATGCTGTGGCACATAGACATCTATATTTATCCTCGATTAAGAATCAAAACGCAGATGCGTTGTCACCTCTTCTTGAATATTAAAAAAACACAAGTTTAATCGATTTGTAATAGTACATGCCAAATCGATTGAAAAAATCGGACAATGACCTTTCGGTCGTTTAACCAGGGGCTACAAACCTTCAATATATAGGCACTTTTTATATATAGTACTTTATTTATAATGATTTTTTTATATTTTTTATAATGATTGATATAATATATATATTTATTAACTATGATTAAAAAGTGATGTAAAAGATCGTTGTAGAAGAAAAATCATATACTGTTATAAAGTACTTTATTCATTTAACAACAAAAAGCATTGATTTATAACACATATAAAGATTCGAGTGATAACGACACCGAATAAGTACGTTCTTATTCAAAAGATAAAACTTTATTTTCAATATTATATAAGAACTTTATTTTTATTCGGTGCACGCGGACCGCCCCAAAAAAAGTGACGCATCTCTGGCTGCCATTGTCAAGTTTCTTGTAGAACGAACTGACGTAACGCGCGTTTTGTTTTTTTTTAAAGGGATGAATTTGCAAAAGGTATATGGTGATTATATTGCTTCAAATGTTGTTTTTTAATATGAAACTGTTATTAAATGAATTGCTGTGCTACTTACCATAAATTGAAATATAAAATATAACACATTTTCGCGATGTACCGTAAGATTTTACGATATTTATGGGAACCACAGACAATATTATTTAAGAAACAAAAAACAAAACATATGTGCTGACCTAGAAGTGTGAATAATATCAATATTTAAATATTGTTATCACATCTAAATTGAGATTTTGTAAGTTACGCCTTTTGACACGGCTCATATCTGAGGTCGTTGTTCGTTTTTCTCAATCGATTTGACACTAACTATAGTAATGGTATCGTCTACAATCAACAGCAAAAGTGTCCATGTTCGATTTATTACCTGTTTATCATCAAATATATTGTTTAACAGCGATTATCAGAATGGAGTTGGCAAAGGACTGTACTATTGAACAAATTCCGGATCGCCAGGAAGCACTTCGATAAGCTAAAAAGGCTTAAAATGACTAAAACGAAAGAAGAAACCAAGCAATTGTAATGTGTGAAGGAATTGCTTGCGCAGTTATTTGAACGTTTATTAGTTAAATTAGTGAAAATGTTCTGTTGCTAGCAAGACAAAAGCGTTACAAAATATGTTTGTGGAAGAATAAAATAAAAGCATCCAGATTCAGTAATGATTAGACTGACAATGGATTAAAAATCAAATAAATGATCGTCCAATTAACGTCTATATTTATTGTATATAAGTGGGGGCAAACGAGCATGTGGCTCACCTGATGGTAAGCGACTACCGCCGCCCATGATCAACCGCAACACCAGGGGAATTGCAGATGCGTTGTCGGTCAGAAGGGTAGGCTCTTTTCTTGAAGGTCCCTAAGTCGTATCGGTCAGGAAAAATCGTTGATGGTAGCTAATTCCACAAGATAATTGAACGAGGAAGAAAACCTCTTGTAAATCGCACAATACATAATAACAGGTCGTATAATGGCTGTGTACGACTACCCTCATATCATGCCGTGGGTGTCGTAAGTAGCGATAGAGGGAAAGGAAAAATGATATGGACAGAAGCTTCTTTCCGATTTTAATTTCAAAAAATACACATATAAAGTGTTACCCGTTGAAACAACCCGCATACTTGGCGATTATAGTAATTATAGAAATATCTCCGTATAAGCTAATCGATAGGCCTTATT